AGCGCAAATGAAGGGAATCTTAAAAAAAAACGCTGTAAACCAAAGATCCAGTCATCTAGCCACCTCAAGCAGATAAGTTTTTGAGTCACTTTCGCCGGCTGAAACACAAGTCGATATTTTCTCCCCCCTTGAGAAAGAGATTGACTTTTGTTTGGAGTTTGTGAGAAGTGGGAATCAGAGCTAGGACAATGAGGCGTCCTGCTGTGAGAGGCTGAGAGGAGCCATCTCAAATCAGTCAGCCCCTGGACTGACTAATCCGCCCATTGTGCCTACCCAGCCACCAGCCGCACACCAACACACTCTCCCCTCCATCGCCACCCCGAAATCCTGGTGCAGTGGGATTTGCTCTCACCAACAGCCAGTTTTGTCCAGGCCAGTTCGAGCGGAAGTTTCTCACTGACAATTTGCCCTAAATAGATTTGTCAGAGCATCTAACTGCACTGCACTGACTTGTGGGGCTGAGGGTTTGGGACCACGGGGAACTGTCTTTAACGGTGGGGCTGTCCCGTGCATGGGAAGACCTGTTGACTGGTAAAGATTAAGGCATGTGCTTGGACTCATGAGCAAGGTTATAAAGTAAATAACCTAATAGCAGTCTGTCAGGCTAATTAAAGTGTCTGCATATTGGTCAGTAGAGATCTGAGGTACTTGTTAACATTGTCAAGTCAATTGTAATCTGTTTTTCAATACCTTTTGGTCACATCCTAATAGAGCACCTGTAGATTACCCTCTTGACCCACTGATGTTTTAATTTCTTCAGTTTTTTCATTCCTTCCTTGCCATCTACCCTGTATACACTATAGTACCTTATATCCTGGTGGGGGGTCTGCTACCTGCTTGTCTCTGTTGGTACTTTGCAGCTGATGTCATGAACATTCCCTGGGAGTGTAATGCTAACTTAAAGTACTACTCAATCTGAAGTGCTGTTAGTAAAGTTAGACTTTAATCTTAGTTTTATTTTAACACAATCTGACCAGAGTGAACTGAATTAACAGGTGAGATGATTTGTGCTATTAAAAAGTGTGTTTTAAAAGGTGTTTTATTGCCAGGAAAATTATTGATTGATTGATTGATTGATTTGTTTTTATTTCGAGTTTGTGCCAAGAGAAAAACAATAATCATGTATACTACATACACATTGTAAACAACAGCGATGAAAGGCATGCCTTCTCACTGTGAGTGGCCTCGCTTCTTCACAGATTTGACCTGTAACCTTGCCTGGTGGCATTACTTGCTTGTCTCCATGGAGAAAGATTTGTTTAATACCCTACTGTGGGGCATTCCAGGCAAGCAATAAATCTGTCAGTCTGCCCCAGGGCAACTGTGGCTGCAATAGTAGCTTGCAACTACTGCGTGTGGAGTGAATGAACAATGAAGTGTAAAGTGCTTTGGGTTTCTTGAAAGGCTCTATATAAATGCATTGATTAATTCATGAATTAAATCTCAGAAATAACAAGCAGGTAGCAGACCACCAAAAAAGGACATATTACACGTTTTAAAACCCTTGAACAAGAGTATGACTTGAACACAAAACAATCCCTTGAATTCAGTTTAAAGAATGAGTCCAGTGTCCAGTGACTGTATGTGTGTGTGAGTGTGAGTGTGTGTGTGTGTTCTGTCAGGAGGACAGGTGAGCTACTGCAGGCTCCTGAGGCAGAGCTGTCCGTGGTGCTGAAAACTGCACACTTATACATTACAGTAAACACATGACCTTCTGTATGATCAAGACTGAACTTATTAAATTATTAATTCCAGGGAAATTGATAGTATAATAAAAAGAATAAAAAGAGTGGGGAAGGTCTTTATGTAACTATTTGAATTGTTGTGGGGAAACGTGTAATCTGACCATATAGTTTCCATATTGTAAAAACTGTAAACTGTAAATGGATGTAAAATGGGTTTGAGTTAAGGAGAAGGTTGAACTACTCTAAATGAATAATAATTTGTAGTAATTGGAGTCAAAATAGTAAAATAATGTAATTACAAGTAACAGATATGTCCATGTTAAAAGTGCACTGTGTAACTTTTCTTGTCACCTTGGAGAATTATATTGTTTTGTTTGGAATGTTTCACATATGGTATTTAACTTGTCTATTTTGCATTTATTAAATTACTGGTGGTTTTAATTGCACTTCTTCTTTCCACTGAGATATAAGTTTAATGCCATACAGTGGAACATTATAGGCAAAGCAAAACATATCCATGGATATGTGGACTCTTCAGCAAAAAAGTTACATAGTGTAGCTTTAAATCAGTCTTAATACAGTTGGGTTGGCCTTAAGCTCTGGTCTCTAATGACCAGTTGTTAGAAGTGTGGCTGCGTTAACGGGAGATAAACTCAGGGTTGTTTTAAAGGAAGCTGATGGGGATTTGGGTCTGAGTCCTCTCTATTATTCTCCCTGGAGCTCAGTGACTTCTGCTTAAACCCCATCTCCTCACGCTCCACTGGTCAGGGCCAAAGAGCCACACTGCCACAAGTCAAAGGAGAGGATTTGGGCACATTAGGGTAATATAGTTAAAGGAATTTATAATTTTATGTTCTTATTTTGGATTGGTTAGTTTGTGTAGAGTCGTTTTAAAGACATGTTTTAAATATGACTATTACCACCTACATGTGGTTTGTCATTCTGTCCTATTGTAGCTCTTAGACTTCTGTAAATGTATTTTATGTATTTATTTTGTTTATTTAACTGTATTTCATCCACAGTGATGTTAAAATTGTAACTCTAAGATACATGTGTTATCAAACAAAAAGCAGTTGAACAAAAACAATTAACAAACAGATACAAAATAGACATTAAAATTGTTTGTATACATAGCAAGAGATGAAACAGATACAGAGCCTATAGGCCTTTGTGTGTGCTGCTTCATTAAGTTTGGAGAGAGGGAGAGTCCATCAGAGCAGGAGAGAAAGGCACAGCTCCAGAGTCCAGCCACCATCATGTCGCTCATATTTGAGTAAAGGCTATCGCTGAATGACCGGGATTAGGACGAGTTAAGGAGATTAGGTCACACATTCACCATTGACACACAGCGCAGCCACCCACAAACACACACACACTTCAGAATAACTCCCACAAGTCAGCCTCTCTCAGATAGTTCATATTCAACACTTACTTCATGAAAAGTCACAACAACTAGTCCTAAAAATGCAGATCTGGTGAAGACTATTGTTTAGTGGTGAATCCAATACACTTCCAAGTTGTTGAGAAAATATCTTATTTTTAATATCTTATTATTTTCATTATAACAATATTTTAAAAAGAAGATAATTTGCCTTTTTAAATGCTAAACTAAGCTCTTGTTCTTGTTAGTTTTACTACATCTCAGAATGGTGAATGCTTTAGAAAAAAAAAAATTTTTTTTTGACTACTGTTTTTTCATAAATAGGTCTGTTAGTTTATTAACACACTGTGTAGCGTTTTTCCGTTTTGATTGAATATGTAACCTAAATACAGTATGATGACGTTTTAAACAACTGTTAATATTCAATCATTTTAAGAAATAGCACAGAAAACGGAGTTTATAGCATAAAACGCCTTTTTATTACATTTCACTCAATCAAATACATTTCAATTTAAGCCTGGCAATTTTTTTTTTTTTTTTTTTTTTTTTTTTTTTGTAGTCTATAGTGTATTCAAATAACCTGTATTGCAAAAGTCTATTATGTTCTTTGTCGCTTTTAACTCTCCCGAAGGTTCTGCTGAAGCCCCATTGTAAAGTGCGCTCGTACTATGGCTTTCCGTTCAAATCAAAAGGAGATCACAGTGATTCCTGGTCGGCCTTGTTAGTATTGGACTTAGCCGTGCAGCTAAAGGCCAGGTTGAAAGACACAACAATGGCTAATTGCAATTAACTACGCCTCTCCGCCTCGCCTTGTCCGCTTAAATCGACACTTTGTGCGCCCATATGGCCCGCGGTGTACCGTGGGAATAGGCACAATTAAAACGGAATATGGATTTCTGCAGTGGCCCGGCGAGAGCGCAGCAAGCTGTCGAGGTCAGGTGTCAGAGAGCGGGGTCTGGGGCCCGTAAACGGCGCGCACCGGTGCTCAGGTAAACATCAGCCCGAGACACATCCAGGCGCATCATCAGTCCACAACAAGCATGATTATCTACCCATGACTTATCATATGGACCAATCAGAAATGACGTCTATGAGCAAGTTTGCGTCAGTGTTTTGATGAAATTTTGAGAAATGGATTGTTTATGAATTCATGATCAGTGTAATTCCCAGATTATCAAGGCAAAGGAACAATCAATCGGGTAAAATGTCTTCCTACCCTCTCTTGAAGCTGCAAACGCATTTAAACTTCTCAGAGGGTTTGTATGACCTGCCATAAACATTTTTTGTTGATTCTGGCCACTAAAAAGGACTACAGCTTTTTACTAAATAGGCCTACAAGACGTTTACGCACAGCACTGCTTTAACACTATCGTAAATGAATGGGCTACTATAGCCTAACTGCGGGGCATATTGCAGTAATATTAAAGTTGAAGGGAGAACACGTGTGACTTGTTTTGAGCTGCTCAGGCTCGTTTCAGCGCTCACACGCACACGCAGGCAGCGCTCGCCCACGACGGCGGTGACGTCAGGTCGGAGTTTGGAGAAAGCCAAGTGGCTGAAGGAAGCGAGTCCTCCTCCCCCTGACACTTCTCTCAAATGAGCGAGGCTTATTGAAACTGCAGCACAAAGTCACATCGGGTTCGGCTTTAAACACACCTTCACCACTGCACTTCACAGCAAACTGCTTAAAACTGTCTCTTTAGCTCTCTCAGAAGCTCCACGTAGCGTTTCACCAACTTTACTCTCCTCCTGCTCTGGGCCTACAGCCGGATTTGCGCTGTCTCCCGAAGCTGCGTCCAGGGGCTTTCATCACTCACGCCTCACGAGGAGGGTTCGTGGAGCGGGACTATGTGTGAGAGCACGTCCCAGACTGTCACACCGTGAGACAGACCGCATCAAACTGCGCTCAGGCTAAACCAAACGGAGGATTTAATTCTGTAAACTCTCGCTAACTTCATCCTACACGATGAGTAAACCCGCGGGATCAACAAGTGGATGTCTAGATATTCTCAGCGTCAAATCGAGTAAGTGTCACCCTTCCCCACACCCTCATGCGTGTGTTGTTAGTTTTTGTTGAATAGTTTTGAAATAATTCTCAATTGGGGAAAAAAGTTTGTTTAGTGAACACAATGCTTTTACAAGTTTTATTTGGAGAGGTTATATCTACCAGTGCCAGATTTTGCTGAAATCTATTTCGATTTGACAAAGGCTAAATCAAATGCGCCGGGTGCAAAATAAATAAATGCAGTAAGTTATTTTCAGTAGTTTAAAGGTAACCTGTTCTTTTAGGTTATTTGAAATGTTATCTCATCAAAGACCCAAAACAACTAGTCCTGCTTTATTTAATTTACTTCATTAACCTGTATGACACTTGTTGCTACAGTTTAGTCATTATAAATCTACACAGTTACACCGCGTGCATTTCTTAATCCTGGTGTATTAGTCAATTAGTGAAAACAATTTCTCTCATTTCCTTATATATTTATGTGCGTAAAGTGCCTTCCGTTTAAACATTTAATTCAAGCAGTTTGAGGAAAAAGAGAATAGCCTAAATTATGGCCTATATGATCATTTATATTGCGTATTTAGGCTACAATGATCATTTACATCATTTAAAGCCAATATATATTTTTAATTTGGGGAATTATCTTTACCTTAAACTTTTAGGTTTAATCAAGTTTTTTTTTTTTTAAACCTTTAACTTAGTTTGGCAAAGCTAAAAAGGGTTGTGTTTTGCTTTTATATCGTAGAGTTCTAATAGGCCTGGGCCTATAGGCTAACTCGCAGTGCGCGTTATCTGTGTATGGGTGGCCATTAAAAGCCTATGCCGTTCAGCAAACCTCCTCTTCAGTTGTTTTTTCTGCCTCGAGTCCTGATGGTGATTACGGTAATGGAATATGCCATATATCTTCAAGCAATTACGGTTCACAATGGGGACAAATTGGACCCCCACCGAGGGAAGTTAAATACATTTTCCCCCATTCAAAACAAAATGTTACCTCATTTTATTTAATTGACTATCTCGAAGCAAGCTACAATTGTAACTTTTTTTTTCTTGGTTGGTGTACCCAGTTGATTTTTGGTTGGCATATTTGGGAAGGCGTTGTTGAACTTGACTCGATTTTTTTTTTTACCTACACGTAATGAAGACTTTGGCCTTTCTCAGAGATTTTTTTTTGTTATCTCTGAACAAATACGCATCAGTGGTCCACAATTAATGGTCTTGTGCTTGTTAATAATGCGCCAATTGGAGCCTCTAACTCCGTCCTGAAGTCATTGTTTTTGCTGCGCTGTAGTTATTCCCATGCTACCCTTTTTGACGGGTCACTGGTGAATCAATGAGCAGGTGGCAAAACGTCAGTGTAATTACATAGACGGCTTTTTCCTGCGCAAGAAAAAAGCTTGCCTCATATGCATACAAATACTGCTTTCTCAGCCATTTGAATACAACATCTTTACAAAAAACACAGAGGGAAAAAAAATCACATTTTTTCATGTTGGCGGGTCCATTTCCATATACTTCATTTGGTTTGGTGAAACGCGGTGTCACTCCCTAATCCTGGGGCCTATAGACCTGCGGATAAAGCAGCTGTCGAGTCCCATTATGAAAGCGAGCTGGCAGCTTGTCGAGATGCAGCCAGTCAGACGAGCTTCAATGGCCTAAAATCATTAAGTTAACACTTTCCCTAATGTCTCCATTGTGCGCCCGGACTTATTGTCTTAGAAGGCCCAGATATGACGCTTCCCACTGGACTAAGTGTCTGCGGCATTCCCATGCTCTCACCGTGCCATGTCCATTTTGCTTTGCGTGAGAGTCAAGCATGTCCAATAATTAGGCTTACTACAGTGAAATACTACTGTTTATTTTCGTTTAAAGTCGTGACGCAAAACATAGGCCATATTGTAAGTTTATCTCTTATGACCACCTGTTAAAGCGAGTTTTAATGTACTATTCTTTATTCCCCAAAGGCCGCATACTGGACATCCCGTGCAAAGTGTGTGGAGACCGCAGCTCGGGGAAGCACTACGGGGTTTACGCATGTGACGGCTGCTCAGGCTTCTTCAAGAGGAGCATCCGCAGAAACAGAACCTATGTCTGTAAATCCGGCTCTCAGGTGAGGCCTGCTGTGTAGTCAATAGCAGCTATAGGAGATGTGGGGAGGACTGAAACATGCCTGAAATGTCAGAACACAAATCATAGTACAATAAGAACCATTTTATATTTCGTTTTTTTTTTTTTTTTTTTTTTTTTTTTTTTTTTTTTCTTGCAAATTAACACAAATTTAAGACTATAGGATATTAATCTTTGGGTAAGTAAAAGAAGATTTAGCCTACGTGGCCTATTTTGATGAAATTATCATGCGTTAATTTCGTCTGTTGCGCACAGGATGCGTCTTTACGCACGGCCTGAATTTTTTTTCTTTTTTTTTTTTTTTTTTTTTTTGCAAGCGGCACTGCTGTGTTAAGTCTGTCTTGATAACCCTAATTGTGTTATGGATGTGTCATTAAGTGCGGAGCTAAACAGAGCGCTGCGGAGATCTCAGGTGTAATCCAATCTAATGTGACGAATGGAGCGCTGTGGGTGCTGTAATAAACCCCCTCACCTGAAGAGCGGAGTGCAGCCTCTAAAACGTGTACCATGTGTCTCTGAACAGGGCGGCTGTCCCGTGGACAAGACGCATAGGAACCAGTGTCGCGCGTGCCGCTTGAAAAAGTGTCTGGAAGTGAACATGAACAAAGACGGTAAGGCCTTCTCTGTAGACACTGTTGTGGAGTAAATATAAATGTTAAACACGAAAACACCGCGATATGTTGACGTGTATAACCTATTTTATTATTTTGTAGACAACATGTAGCCTTTACGGTTCATATAGACACCGATAATGGGACATAATTTTGCGGGCAGTCGGTGAAGTGGCTCTAGTCAGAGGGAGTGGGCACAACACTTTTCATAAAGGGGGCATTGAGTGTTGCGCAGATCGTTTATTTACTCTGTGTCACTGTTGTCCCGTTTCACAGCCGTGCAGCACGAGAGGGGCCCCCGCACGTCCACTATCCGCAAACAGGTCGCCCTATATTTCCGGGGCCATAAAGAGGTGAACGGCTCATCGCCCCATTTCCCGGGATCCGCTCTGCCAGGCCCCCCCTTCTTCACCACCGTCACGCAACTAGAGCCGCACAACCTGGAGATGAGCGCGGTGGGCTCCACGCCAGAGAGGCAAGCCATCGTGGGCCTGGCACAGCCCACACCAAAGGTAGGCCACTGTGCTGGGCTATACTCTAAATCTGTGAAATCTTATATACAGATAGACCTAATCTTGTTTTAAGAAGAATATTCTTGTCTAGGTAGGTTTTGATTTGCATGGGAAGGCCATGCTTTTACATATATTTATGTGTATATATATATATATATATATATATATATATATATATATATATATATATATATATATATATATATATATATATATATATATTTCTTAATTTTTTAAAGTTTTGTAAATGTAACTTTTTAAAAACATAATATTCACATTTATTATTGTGATGAATATTATCATTATTATTATTATTATTAGCACAGGATATTCTGTCAGGGTTAGAAGTTGACATTCTTGCAGTGATTTAGCAGCCTGTAATAACCTCAAATCCGCCCATTAGATTTGTGGTTGAAATCCCAAAGCCTGCTAATGTGGAAGCAGGTGGCGCTTGGAGTTTGACCTCTGCTGTTGTTGCGCTGTGCAGTTAGACAGGCTTATTGTGACGTGACAATGTGCTAATCTTAACGTGTTTGTGTCCGTGCCCCCAGTACCCCCATGAGGTGAGCGCCACCCCCATGTACCTGTACGAGGTGGCCACAGAGTCTGTGTGTGAGTCTGCTGCACGTCTACTTTTCATGAGCATCAAGTGGGCTAAGAGTGTCCCTGCCTTCTCTACGCTGCCATTGTCCGACCAGGTACTTTCATATTTTCTCCCTCCAGCAACAAAACAATACAAGCACTGTTTGAAACTATTATATATTTTACTAAATAAGATGGCTAAATTAGAATTTGGAGAATAGGCCTTTAGCCTTTTATCAAACTTTATACAGTGAAGGCCTCTCCACTGTTTTGTTACAGCTGATTTTGTTAGAAGATGCCTGGAGGGAGTTGTTTGTCCTCGGGATAGCGCAGTGGGCCATTCCTGTAGATTCTACGACTCTACTGGCTGTTTCTGGTAAGGGCAATATTAGTCATAAACCTTTTACAACACATGCATACAGGTTAAGTACACACAGTATTACTGTAATGTTATAAAACACTATAACGGACAATACACAGTAGAAAAAGAGGAGTAGCTTTAACTTATAAGTGGAAAATGCAAAATGTGCAAATTATGTTTATTAAATAAAATTGGTTAGCTTATTTATTTAGCCTCTATGTATTGGCTGGAACAAAAGTTATGTTCAATCACTGGTTAGTTTTAGTTACACTAAAATAATCAGGAGAGACTTGGCTTTTTTTTTTTTTTTTTTTTATCAGACTTGAAAAACTGCCTCAACTAAAATGTTGTCATGTCAAATAACACGCTTTCTATCTGTTCTTGATTTTTCCCAAAGGGATGAACGCGGACAACACAGACTCCCAGAGGCTGAATAAGATCATGTCAGAGATCCAGGCTCTTCAGGAGGTCGTCACACGCTTCAGACAGATGAGGCTCGATGCCACAGAGTTCGCCTGTTTGAAATGTATTGTGACCTTCAAAGCTGGTGAGAGCCTCGTCCTATAGAGCTGCCATTAGTGCTAAACAAGCCTGTGTTATTAGCCAAACAAAAGCAGTAAGGCCAGAGCATATAGGATAATGTATATTTATTACACTGTCTTTTCAGTTCCCACGCACGGAGCCACCGAGTTAAGAAGTTTCAGAAACGCTAGTGCCATTGCTGCGCTACAAGACGAGGCCCAACTAACGCTGAACAGTTACATACACACAAGGTAAAGTACGAATGCCTTTGTCTTGAGTCAAAAAAGCAGTAATTATAGCTCGTGTTTAGCACAAGCGGCTAAGGCTAAGGCTAATGCTGAGTGTGATGTAATTTGCCACAGGTGCTGCTGATGAGAGCTTAATTAATGCTGATTGGATGCAGATGTGCAGTGATTGGACAGGCTCAGAATGATTACATCATCAGTAATAGACGCTCATATGTAGTGTTTCCCCACAATATTAACTATTAACGTGTTTATAAATTACTTTATTCATTTAACAAAATCTAAACAGGTACAGGTTTTGATGAGTTCTTTAAAAATGACTGATCTTTTTCTGCAGCCACCAATTTGGCTGAGTAACAATAATATAATTCATTATAAAATTAATATTACCCATACTTCCTTATTGTCAAAGAGTAAATGGTCTGATGTGATTCTGCATCATTTGATTCCGCATCGTGTACTAAACCACCAGTTTAGAACTTACAACTTACAACTGGTTGAGTTTTGAGAGACGTAGACTAAATAAATAATCATGTATAATAATATGTATGTATTATTAGTATGTATGACTGAATAGTCTCCTTAACAAACAAAACATGCTTTGTGTTGTAGGTATCCCACTCAGCCGTGTCGCTTTGGGAAGCTGCTCCTCCTCCTCCCCTCTCTCCGCTCCATCACGCCATCCACCATCGAAGAGGTTTTCTTCAAGAAGACCATCGGCAATGTGCCCATCACCAGACTGCTCTCTGACATGTACAAGTCCAGTGATATATGAAGCACTCACAAAAGACTGAAAGAGGCTTGAATATGGACAGTAAGCTTCCATACAAAGGGACACATCTGAGCACACAATCTCTATAGAACCATTTTGCCTAATAGGCTCCACTGAAACAAAACTCGAAAGACCTTATTGACTGAAGTAGCCTTTAACAGATGCTCTAGTAAAGATTAGTTTATAACTTTCAGTACAGACATTTGTACCATATTGAACAAAAATGCAATCTTGGTATAGACAAAGTGAAAGTCTACCATGTAAAATATATTGTAGGGAGTATGTTTGACAAAGAAATGTTTTATCTTTTGTGTCTATGAGACCAATGATCTTGACCAATTCAATCTTTAATTGCTATATTCAATCCCAATGGAGCAAACCAAAAAGAGTACAACATGGGGATGTGAGCTGCTGTCTCTACGTGGGGCTGAAACCAAACTAGATTTAACAGACTACAAACTTGTGCAGGTTCTGAAATGCATCCTGTGTAACACTGATTTAAAGATGTGGTAAATATGTAGTTCACGCCCCATTTGAGGCACAGAAGAAAAATGTGTAAAAGTCGACTTTGTAAAGTTAGACACTAACTGAAAAGTATATTCAGCACTTGGAAATGTGGTTGTGGCCTGTGGTGTTTTTAATTTTGCTTGTAAATATTTGAAGTTATAACTATTTAGAGTTGTAACAATGGAATAAAAGAGTAAAATAAAATTATCTGTGTCAGAAGACCACATTTGCTTTTACTTTTACTCCAAAGTGGCAACAGGTCATGCACATGGAAACTGAAGGCTGACACAAAGGATGTGATTTTCAGACAGCTCAATATATTTCAAGCTTAATTATTTTATATTTTGCACCTTTAATATTCATGGATCTCAGTCACATGACTTTTTCCTGAATATGTCATTAAGGATTTTTGACAATTCAAAGGGCTGAACATTTAGTTTGGAGTTGTTAATTGCTATGGCAAGATCTATCCCCTTTCAAATCACTCTGAAACCCATGGATTAAGGCTGCAATTAATTATTTTATGAATCGATTAAACTAGAAATTACTCGATTAGTTGTTTATTTTGCAAAAAGCCTATGAAAATTTGATTTTTTCCAGATAACCCAGTAAAACTATTGTGCTGCTTGTGGCCATCCTGATGAACCAACTTTGTAAATATTTTTCATCAAAAATACAAGTTTGTGTCTGAGAAAGTATCTTGTTTTGATGCTTATGTATAGACCATTAGACCAGATAACAATCAGTAAATCACAACTGATTACTACATTACACAGTTTTAATAATAATTAGTTCCTTAGAATAGTTCCTTGGTATTAACTAACAAACATTTGCAACTGATACAGTCAAACCCAAAGAAAAGTAAAAAACAACATGGTTGAACATTTCACCTATTTTATTGGAAAATCTTCAACATAAACAAAAATGGCACAGCAGTATACAAATCTCATTATGCATATAGCCTGTAGAAATACTGCAGTTCCCTCTGTGTATAATCCTTGCTATAAAATCTTTGTGGTTATGGGAAAGGTGCTCTTATATGACACACACATGCTGAGAATCTAGGCCCAGTGTGTGTTAGATTGCATGCCAATACAAGACACTGTGGAGGAGAGCTCAGCATATACACAGAAGAATATGTAACTATAGAAATGAATCAGGACTGCTAAATGATAAATAGATAATATATTCTTTAGTGGCATTTTCAGACAGCAACAGAACGTACTATAAATAAGTTTCACCACAGCTGTGTTGGACAATCGTACAAGACAAGAAGGTGAAAACATAGCAGTCGAACATGGTAGAGGCAGTGGACTCGAGTGTTGGGAGCGCAAGATAAAATTAAAATGTTTTTGTATTGGTTTTTGAGAGAAAGACCTGGAGCAGTGAAAAAGCTTTGGGTTGCTGTTGTAATGGGGTCCAGTTGAAAAAGCGTCCCGACTGGTTCTTGGTTCCTGGTTCTTGGGTTTAAGCTTGTCGGACTTTGGATGGGGTATAGCTCCTGTCCACGGTGTCCTCCTGTAGAAACATGTGCAGGCATCGCTCGTTCTGGGCCAGAGGGTGACCGGCCACTCTGCAACACACAGCACAAGTATCAGAGGTACATTAGACAACTACAATTACTATTACTTTATTTTCTGTAGGTATTGCCATAGGACACCTCCATAATGTACTTCATAATGTTTAGGAAGTCCCTGTCACCTATTTACTACAGAATACAGTTATGAAATAGTTCATGTTTCCTTATTATTTGATGTATATGAAAACCTAGCCGATATGGTGCAAAATAAATTAAAACTAACCACTAATTACTACCAACTAACCACTTTTTTTCCTCATGTAGACTAACAATACAATTAAATTTTTGTTTTCTTATAAATACAAATAAATATATGTGTAAGATCAGACTGACTGTTAGAATCAACCTTATCTTAAATAGCAAATTCTTATTTTTTTTCCCATTCCAGTGCCATAATGTTTTAACAAACAAACGTATCCACATTTATTTAATGTTTTTACACATGCAATTTAAAACAAATCATAATTTAATAAAAATTTGATTAATTGCACAGCCTTTTAGTGTTGTGACCCATAACTGTATTACATGGTCGTCATTGAAACTGCACTACAATTCAATTCCATTCAAGTAATTTTTCCTTTTGTTTAATTTGAAGCATTTCTGAGAAAAGTACAATATAAATGTTACTCATTATTGTGTTATTATGCATTTATTTTAACAGTATTATCTACTTAGAGACATTGTATAGTCCAGAGCTTATGCGACGGCCACCTTGACATTAGCTGCACTAAATGACATCAGCTCCATAAATGGCTTTAACAATGACATAAGTTGGATGAAAATCAGTCTGTGCACCTGGGACTGCAAATATTTTCCAATCATTTTTGTCCAAGATCACAGTGTACACTTTTCAAAGATCTCAACATGTAATAGAAAATACTTGAGGCAAAATTAAGTGGCCCTGTGAGCGACTGGAGGACTGGCAATCACTGCATAGATCAAGAGGCTAAGGAATAAACGTTTTAAAACCTTTGGGAAATTTTGATCTTCATGACTTGACGCACCTGACCCCAGTAGATTTTACGATTGTTAGGCGTTTTAATCAAAGATGTCGGCTCTCTCCTCCTGCTCACTTATCTGTTAACAATCCTGTTTGACATTCTTAGATTAGTTCGTAACAATACTCTCAATCAGAGTTGTCGAGCGCTACCGAACAATGGCGGCATTTTACATTTGTACGAAGCAAAGGAAATCTTAATTACCGAGATACGATTCTCATCTTGGTTTAACATATTTATGCTGTTTAATTCTCGCTTCTCCGTCTTTTTACACGCTTAATAGTCCAACAGGAAACGCTGAAACATTTGCACATGAAACAAAGATAATGGCCAAGTCTGCAATCAAAGCAAATAATTACAATCACTGTGTAACTTTTATTGTTGAACAGCTGAAAATGAGAACACACTGGTTCAAAAATAAGCAGAGGTGCTCACTCCGGCCCATGTAACCACGCGCTGTAATTTGAGCGGCAATTATCATAAATTACCCATCAACAATAAAACAAATGTGGGAAAAATTGTGTTGAGGGGGTGCACACTTGAGTCTTCATTGCTTGTTCTTGTCGTTTTGCAAAGTAATTATATAAGTGTTTTGAGGACTGGGAGAAAGGCTTCAACTTGTTAACAATGTGAAGAAAAGTGAAAAAGTTGAATCGGCTTGAGTAGCTAGCAATTGTTTAGAAATGTTTCTTTGTTTGGCAGATTTAGAATAAAGACGTGAATGATGTAACTGGCAGAAGAAAACTTACTTGTTAAGGAATTGCTCCAGTCCCTGTCGTCGCTCCTCGATGAAATTATCGTCAAAGATGCCATCGTCTCCACGGAAAGGCAATTGCCGGAATAGAGCTTTACCTGGAAGAGGAGGCACAACCACCTGGAAAAAACACATGGACTGAGAAATAATGAAGAATATTTACTATACTGCCAAAGTTTATCCTATAATATTCTTTGACTATACTAGTTAAAAGTAACATGTATGAAATATTAATTAGGTATTCTCATTGACAAATGTTTGAATAACTAATTAATCAGTGTAAGCCAGTCTTCTGAAGGTTTCCTTTGTGCGACTATGGAAAGTCAAGACCAGAGTTTTGGGGTTGTGCTATAATCACCTGGGAATAAACAGCTATAATAAATAACTGTAAAACCTATGGCATAAGGGTGGGCGATATGGTGATAAAAATTTAACCATGATCTGATCCTTTGATGAAATACTATTAGTGAAATCAACATATTGTGATTCTGTGTTTTTCTGTTTAATGGATGCACTCAGACACTCAAACACAGACATTTTTCCCCCTATTAGTTAACCTCTGTAAGGCTCTGGGTGAGTAACAGGAGGATTTAACCGATTAGAGAAAAGTAAGACATTTCTAAAGAAGCAGGTGATGTCATTTACCTCTTCCAAGTCAATATCAAAATAATAAATGTACATGAATAGTGATAAAATCAAAATTGTGATCTGGCTTCATGAAATTCTGGATATTATTTTCTTGGCATTTCGCCCACTCCTACTATGAAATGTTGTACACTTGTTTATGAGTCCTATGTTGGCCTCACCTTGCTCTCCCGCTCCAGCTCTGTTCGAAGCCACTCAAAGTCACTGTACCTTCGCCGCACAGACGACTCCTTCAGCTTGAAGATGGGCAAGTTTGTCTGAGGACACAAAGAAAACAAACGTTCAAATATGTTTTAAATGAGCTTTACACTGTTCAGTTAAAAAGTTCAATGATTCCCTTCAACACAGACCTGTTTTTGTAGACATTTCAAGTTAATATTAGAAAAAAGAATTCAAGCATGTATAAGATAAGTAAAAAGATACAACTTATTTTTGTAACACCAATTGCAAACTGCAGTGCCAACCAGAAGAAAAAGAAATTTTACATAGGACTTGGTGGACAACCTTGTGTTATCGACTTTGAGACCACTGAGAATAAAGAAAAACAAAGCCCCTTTACAGCTGAACCCATAAGAGGAGAGATTCAAAACTGGCCTCCAGCTTTAAAAAGACAAAGTTCACTTTTATTTGGATCACCAAGGTCTGTCGCTCTCAAAATGTTTTGCCATTTTCCCCGCACTCGCCAAAGCGCAGATGTGAGCATAATTCTAAGTTGCTGTTGACAAGCACTTGAGCGCAGAATTTCATATTAAAAATGGGGGAGCTGATTCGACATTGACGGAGAACATTGAAGCAAACAGCACATTTGAGCACAATGCCAAAGCTCTTCACTTGTCCTGACAGCACATGGCCGCTCTGCCACAATGTACCCACGACTCTCTGAATGAGCATTTCATTGGCGGGCCGCATTCACAGAAGGTCAGAATTCATGGAGGAAAGGAAGAGGGGAAGAGAAAAAAAATGCAAAAAGCAAAAGCAATCGAGCAAGTGGATGCAGAGAATACAGTGTGAGCAGCGGACGGATCGATGGGCGGGCGGATGACTGTGAGTTAACTAGGAGCCTGAGTAAAAGGCTGATCAAAAAGAAAAGGGGTGCGTGTGGAGCCATAAAGGAGCGCTGAAGAGGCTGCAGTCCCCCGGGCGCTCAGGGACTAATTGAGGACGAGAGTCTTGTCCTCCCATGGACCTCTTACTTGGTTTTCCTCGTCCACAATAACAAGCC